TTAATTTAGAACGAGCAAAAAGAACAAAAAAATAAAAGATTATGAATGAAATGAAAAATAAACTGACTAGCTTTATAATTCCTGTTTTTGTTTTTCTTCCCCTATAATAATAGATTTTTGAATTAATAAATCATTTTAAACCATTTCCAATACAAATATGACATTTCAAATTGAACAATTAGTATGAAAATAGTAAATAAAGTTGGAAAAAATTTGTAAAGAAAATGTTTTTTTCCTCAAAAGTTTAATATGAAATAAATATAGGATGCATCGATGCTCCTTGAACACAGAGAAATAAGCAACTATGAAACCAAATGAACGCTTCTTAACAATTTTTTTTTTTTTTTCTATTTAGCGCAAAACAATCATCTCACTTCGCAAATTTTGTTTCATTTCACATCTATTTTACTAATTGCACCAATCCATTTATTCATCGTACTGCTCGACAACAATAATGGAGTTTAATTGAAATAAATGTTGAGGAAATTCTTGAAATAAGCATTTAATATGTTGGATATTTATGAAATGCACTGTTTATTTTAATTATCAATTCGCTCTTACAAATTTTTAATTATGACCACTTTAATTTGTTTAAAATTCAAATTTATTCTCTAGATTATGATGAACAGTAGGTAAATAAAATGCTCACTCATCTAATTATCCACAGAATACCCAATTGAGCTTGATTGCAAAATGAATTATAACGAAAATTCTTCATTAAATCATCGTCTCATCTCGACAAATTAAACCTTTTTTTCTTGTTTGTTTGGTTCAGAAAAAACTAACTTTTAGGAATGTGTAAAGAATCATTAAGTCACAACCGGAAACGAGGAATCAGATCATATTCATGTGCTACATGAATTAAGCTTGAAAACTGTGCGAAAGACTAATTTTTTTTACTATTGTAGTAATTATTCACACTAATATAGTATAAAAAAGGAATGAACATGAAAAACAGGAAAAAAAAGACAAAAAAGTTTTAACACAAAGATGAAAATGGAAGTCCATCAGCTATGATAATACTTAACCTCCAGAAAAGAATTTTAAGGATTCAAATGATATCGAATATGAACAACCACGTATTGAATTGATGTGTACAAATTTCAATCATCGGTAATTTAAATTTAACAAACAACGAATCTGCTGTAATTACAATTAAATTTTACATGCAGATCATAAAATCTGAAGTAGAAATTATTTGGAACAGGAGTCGGTCTGTTAATCGCTTATATAGATCGGATTCATTAATGAACATGAACAGTAAAGCCGGTCGCTCACTTTCACAAAGAATTTGACCAAAACCAAGCCTCGGATTACGTAAATTTGGCAATTTCTCAGAACAGGAATCAGAAAAATGAAATAATACAGTACAGACACAGTAAAGACATTTTACAATTTCAAAAGAATCTAAATTTCCTATTTCTGTAATATATCAAAAAGTACTTTAAGAGAAGGAGTATAGAAATTTGGAATAAAATCTTTATATCCCTGTTTCTCGAATTCCTCAACTTTGTTCAGATCGTGCACTCCAGTACCTACTAAAACCGATGTTAGACCATTTACATGTCCAAATTTTATATCTGTTTCACATGAGTCACCAAATATCACTGACTTTTCGGCCTTCAGATTGAACCTAAAAAGAACTTTTAAAAACCGGAATAGTCAAACTTTCATGCACTATTTACACAGACATGGAGATAACTACAGAATGAAACCGTTTGACTACTTAGTTCATTTTCTTTTAACACTTAGCAATATTTCCTTGCTATTCACACTACTTCCAAGATTATGATTTGTTAACATGGACAATTAAAAAAAAAATATGCTGAAGAGATAACACTAAACTAAGGTGTGCATAACAGCATGAACTGATCTAATATCCAAACCAAAATTAGTAAACAACAAAAATACACCTTTCCTTGATGTATTCGAACATTGTTTTGCTAGGCTTACCAATTACGATTGGTTCTTTGCCAGCAGCTGTTTGCACTGCTCTCATACTGATACCTGATCCTGGTATAACAACACCTGGAAATAGTGAAAATAGAGTTATAAGATCCTAAACTCCTCGAAATTTGCATTCCCAAAATATACAAATAAAGACAACTTTCCACTTGAACTAGGAGGTTACAAAAAGCAATTTACTTAACTTCCCAATTACTTCTTTTTGCCGCTGATATATAGTATTTTGATGAGGAAATATAAAAGCCTAATTACCTGGTACAGGCCCAGGCAGCCTTGGATCTGGATTGGTGGCATAAAAACGTACTCCTGCCTGATTGATATAGTTTGCAGCCCTCATTATTTTAGGATAGCTTAGATGTATATCGAAACTAACTACTACAGCTCTCACTTTTCTGGATATATCCATTTGTTGTATGGATTCGACATTGGTGTAAGACTCGACAAGATCGGGACCCGTCCCAAAGCTTTCTATTCCTTCTTTTTTCAATTCTCTCTGAAGTAAGAAAACCATGTCTGGAAAGCAATAAAATAAAATAGTACAAAAAAAAAAAAAAAAACAACACTTACTTGTAAACCACTTGAACCAACAATATACACTGGCAAGTCGGATTTTTCCTTGGCCAATATGTGAGCCAGAACTTTAGCAGGTGATAAAATGTGGTCATCAGACAGCATATCAAAGCCTATTCGCTTACATTTATTCACGTAATCATCCAATGTCTTGGTTGAATTATTTGTTACTATGAAGACATTTTTACCTGAAAAATGCTTCATTATCAAAAAATTGGCAAAAAGGTGGAAGCACGAAGTTATTATTCTAAAGAAAACATCAAAATGTGTTCAATGTGTTCATTCCTCTTTTCTCCATCTTCGGGAGAAACTGTGGAAAACAATAGTGATTGAACAATTCCCAATATTCCTCAAGAAATGAAAAGAGAGGAGGAGAAAAAGAAGAGAGAAAGAAGTGGTAATAAGCAAAAAATTTCGGACTTTCTCTTCTACACGGACTTAAATTTGAAAAAAAAAAAGAGAATAAGTGAAATGCAAACCAGCAGATACAAGATGTCGCAGGAAATCTGCAGCGCCCGGTAATGGTGTGTCATCAAGCCACAGCACTCCATCAGCATCGAAAAGAAATGAATCGAACGAACTGATCAGTTGATGACTGTCTGCCTGTTGTATCCTTGACATTTCCTGCAATAGCAACTGTTAATTCATGAAATCTTTCATTACATGATATTTGGTAATTTGTCCATTTCCTAATCCATCAAATTTATTAGACTAATCGAGTCTTATTATCAGATATCGCATTATTGTTTACAACATTTACTTCATTAAGTTGTGAATTTATGATCTATCAATCTTCAAATGAGATTGTTTTTTCCCAGCCAATAAATGTGTTAGAATGATTAGGAAGGTGTGAGAAGTAAAGCTAAGTAACTGAGGATGAAGAAGAGGAGGAAAATGAATGGAAAAGAAGGACCATATCAGAATAAAGGGAAGAGATCGTTTAGAATTTTTTTTTAAAAGTAAACGATACTTATGTTACGTACCCATAAAGTTTGCACTCCCTCATTTTTCTAAATCTCATATATTATCATACGTGACTAAAAATTATTGAAAAAACAAACGAAAGGTGATTAAAATCAACGAAACATATTTGTATTGCAAAAAAATTAAATCGCACTTTAGTGCTGTATATCACGATTTTGGAGCTGCAACAGTCCAATACTGTCTTAAAATAAGATCTTGCAAAATCAGTCGATAATGAAAGGATACGGTACTGAAAGTGCCCTAATTACATCATTTGGCATCAGTTCAAGTGGAGGCTAGCACGATGAGTGGAGGTTTCGTCATCACTGGTCAGTGTAGTGGTCAGCAGACGCGCGGAGCGGTGCGGCGGCGGATGGTGGCTCTAGTGGTTGGGGTCTGGTTGGTGGGGATGTGTGTGGGTTGTCGTTGTGGTAGGTGTGCAAGTAAGTTGCGTGAGTCACGTCACATGATTACCTGTATGAAATCTGTGCTTCGTGTGCGTTATGTTGTTACCCGCAATGAGAATGATGCGCCCCACTTTGCGTGCGTGCTAGCGAGCGCGTGCGATGCGTCATTGTTGACGATGACGATGATGATGATGATGATGGTTGTTGTTGTTGTATTTTATATGAGGGTTGTAAAGGGAAGGAAGGTAAAGGGAGGAGATTAGATGAAAGTCTCGGATTCGGTAGCACCAAGTATGTTCTAAATTTTGGACAAGCTGTAAGGGGTAATTTCTGTGTGTGTGCGTGTCTGTCTGTTGTCTGTGTCTGTGTGTGTTACCTTTGCGCATTTATGAGATTACCGCAGTTCGTGCCAGGTGGTGCGTGGGGGTGAGGGAGAGGAGGAGTTCTGCCTTTTGTTTGCAAAAGTGTCTGATGATCACCGCCGGTGTGATGTTGCTGTACGACGTTGGCCGGTAATATTCTATCCACGCCGAAATATTTCACATTATTTCACTGGGGATACTTCTCTTTCCCTGTGTTTGATATAAAGCTGCCAAGTTACGCTGTCCATCCTTGCTCTTGGTTTTCAATTCAGCAATTGAATTTATGTTCTTGGTTTATGGAGCAGTTCATATCTCGTACCACCTACCTGAGTCATGTGTAGCCAGAGGTCGTAGGTAATCTATCCAACGGTTTTTGATGTATGAATTTTACTACTTGACATTCAGCGCTGTGTAAGATTACATGGGATTTCATTCCGCATCTTTAGATGTTGTCGTTTGGGAAAAGGAGCTTTTTTTCTTCACCATTTTTTTCAATTTTTTGGCGTTGTCTTTTTTTCCTTTTTTGTGTTTTAATGTTTTTCATTGTTCTTTTGAAGTTCAGGATGACCGAAGGCTTTGCTAAGGAGTTAATTTTAATTGATGAAATATGACAGATGAAATAAATGCTGCTGTTTTTTCCACTATTTGAACACACTGATACGCTGAAAATTTATTTAGATTGTATCAGTGATGTCATCGATATTGCTATTGCTATAAATATTGCTACTAAGAAATGGTTACTTTTCTTTTCTTTACATTTTTAATGTATAAGCTTTCAGTATACACGTATCTGAACATTTTCCACCATTCGCATAGATTTGGTAAAATATAATTTAGTTAGTGTTCTACATATTTTTTACTTTTATTAAGAGACGAAGCTTGGCTCCTTCAACGGTCGGTGGGACTTCGTCGTCACCTGCGATAAAACCATGCGTCTCGCTTGGTGACGGCACAAAATTACGGGAACGGAAAAAACACAAAATGAACGCATTAGAAGTTAGTGCAAATTTTCTGGAGTTTTGTAATCATGATGAATGTTTTCTGAATTAATCTGTGAAGGTAATGAATTTTGCTTTCTTCAAAAATAGTCGTAATCAATCACTTTACACTTGCATTCTATTGGGTTTTGTCCTTCGATCTGATCCTTACAATTGCGGCTGATCTATGCCTGCAGCTGTCTCTCGTAAATATGTTGGTGTGTGACCTACCCGTAGCTCCGAATATGTGTGGGACAAATTGCACAACACATATCGGTCCACGGGAAAGCCACACATTGACTGATTCGATCTTCCCGCCATTGCTGACCTCTCCTCATTATGATGTAGTGACCCGATGCCATATGCCATATAGTAATGATAGCTCTGTTCCTCAGTGCCTTGCAATTCATCCAGCTACTTCTCACTGTTTATCACAAGTTCCTAAATTCTTATAATCATGTCACTCCTTAACTCTCCTTCCTTTCCATGGAAAGCTTGGGAGATGTTTGATGTGAGGTGTAGTTCGCTCACCTCATACCAGAGATATTTAACATTTTTGCCCGTCAAGGTCATTGCTTGGAATGTATCGTGTTTAGTTGCTATTCTATCTGGTTGTAGTGTATGACTTAATGCTCTCCAGTTGAAATCAGCATGTTGATCAAACCTTATTTGTTATTACAATACTACTTTTGGAAGGCTAGTTATTGTTAAGCAAAGTCAGTGTAATCCTCACATGTTATGATTTGAGGAAACGGATGCCCTGTGTTGTAACTTTGGGGGGCTTTTCCGTCATCTCTTTGATTTTTCTTAATATTTCAAGTTTTTTTCTTTAATTAATCCATTTCTCTATTTCAAAGTGAAATGCTGATGGGTATTTTCAGAATAACGAAAATCCCGACCGAAATGAGCTTAAAAGTCCATATCGTAAAATCTTAGTCACAGCTATTGAAGATTTAATGCAAAAAGAACGAGGTTTCCATGAAGAAATGATCAGCAGGCTTCTCAGCAGGCCTTTCAAAATCCCCATTCCTGATTACAGAAGTAATTATTGTCTCTAAATATTTCTTTTTTGTGTTATGTTTTGAACTTGTTGAAATTGATTAGTCCTATTAAAGTAGTGTCACTCCACATCGGCATGGCGGCTGTCGGTTAACCCGTAGTTTCGAACATGTGTTGATATATTAGATAACACATGTCGGTTCTCGGGTCAATTGCTTACTAGCCGTAATTCCGAGCCGATGTCCACTGCCACTGTCTGCTCAACTCATGTATACTTTAGCATTTTCTAATAATATATCTTCATTTTTCCATTTCGGATTATCAGTGCACTTTCGAGAATTAAGAATTATGAGAATGACCATTGAATAATTGGATTTTTTTTTTCCATTGACAGGTCCTGGCCGGGCTCGTCCTCTTGGTCTCCGTCATTCAACGGTTCGCTGTGCACTGTTTGATCCATATAGTGAAGGAGCCTTGGTGCTGTTTACACCACCGGAACTTAGTGCACATGATGCGCTCAAACTTGATACTACTAACAAGCAGGTGAACATCACTGCACTTATCAGTTGGTTGCTCCTGTAGGTACATACTACCACATAATATAAATTAATATGAAGTAGCATATTTCCGATTTTGGTTTCTTACCTGATGTATTATTGTCTTGTTGTAGGGTAATTACGATATTGTGAACCTTGTTTGACAAAAACATGTGATGTTTTGTGACTCCTACAAAATTTGAGTTCCTTATATATTGATGTTCGAAAAAAGCTTATGGGAACTTGAAATATTTAAAATTAAATTAGAAGGTACATGTTGTGGTGGATCCAACATTGAGCGCTGTTCTGCGACCTCATCAACGGGAAGGTGTGAAATTTATGTATGATTGCGTCACCGGTGTTCGCATTCCTTCCGCTCATGGTTGTATCATGGCAGATGAAATGGGTTTGGGCAAAACGCTGCAATGTATCACCTTAATGTGGACATTACTTGTATGTCTATTATCATGTAATAATAGTTTGTAATACCTACTCATTATACAATAACAGTCAAGGTTTGCACTGAAGAGAAGTGGCCCGTCATGTATATGACATTTCACAACAAACGCAAGTAACGTAGCTAGATAATGCTGTGTTGCTGCTGTCCGTGAGATTGTTAGTGTTTAAAGTTTATAGCTGAAATATGTAAAGGGATACTGAGAAGGAAAGGGACAGTTAATGGTCTATCTAATTTGAGTGGTAGATAGAAGCAGAATACTAAAAACAAATTAAAAGGGTTTTATAGAGTTTTCATTTTTGGAGTGAAATGCAAGAGAATTCCTATGAGGAGCGAATTTTATCCAACAAATATGCTCAAAATATAAAACAGAGAAAATATAAATATTGGAATTGTTAATCAGTTTTAGCTTATATTATTTGCTAAAGGCCGGTGACAGTGAAATGAACAAAAATGTAATGTCCTTATTCTACTGAAGAAAACCAAGTAAAAATGAAATTGTTTAAATTCAGAAGAGTTACTTTAGAGACAAGGACCAGATGCAAAACCGACATTGAATAAGACAGTGATCGTTTGTCCGAGCAGTCTTGTCAAGGTTAATTCTTGCTTTGTTTGTTGTGGGTACATTCATATTTGCATTTTGACCTTGATATAAAGATACAGTCAAAGACTTGTCTGCATGAGGGTAAGGATTAATGATCATCCTTATTCACACCATGAAAGATATAAATTATTAACATTTTATATAATTATTAAATAAAAAACACGCAATTATCTGGTCCAATCAATCATTATCGCTTTATGGTGCAACTATTGGAAAGCAAATTCCGGGTTGTTTAAAAATGCAACTTTCCATTTCAGAAGAATTTATGTCTCAAATGCTATGTGGTAGGACCTTTATGAATTTACAGAATTGGGATAAAGAAATTAGAAAGTGGCTCGGCGGACGAGTGAATGCATTACCCGTGGATTCGGGAGGGAAAGATGAAATTGACAGGAATTTAGGTTTGTCTGATATATTGTCTGACATTTCTGGATCTCTTTAGAGTTTTCGTTGTTAGTGTATCTCAGCTAATATTAGCAGATTTAAAATAACTTCGTTTTTTTTTTTTTAAAAAGTAGTAAGGAAAATCGTTGAATAATATATATTTTTGTTTACGTTATTTCAGAAAAGTTTATGTCTCAGATGGGTGTGCGTTGTCCTACACCTGTACTCATTATTTCCTATGAAACTTTTCGTCTTCATGCTTCCATTCTATTGCAAAAGGAAATTGGATTAATTATTTGCGATGAGGTTTATTTTGTATTCTAATTTCTTCGCTACTATGAAGTGTAATCAATCTAATAGTTAGGATTATCAGGTGTTTTATTACATTATATATATTCTTAAGTGCGTAGTCGTAGATTCATTTCATATTCATATTATTAATCGTTGGTGGCAATTTACTGGTGGATCATTATCTAATCGTTGGTGGCAATTTACTGATGGATCATTATCTACTCATTACTTCTTAAGTTCTAAAATATTTTTTCAAAGTCTTTTTGGCGCTATCGCTAGTAGCAAACCCAATTCGAGTAACTCACAGAAATGAAAGGTATTATTACGGTATATTCCCATCCCTTTATATTATTGTGCTCTTTCTCATTGTGTTGTTTATTGATTTGTACCGTTATTTTTTTTGCCATATTGATTTGTACCCTTTTTTTTACCGTTCGTACTTAATGCATTATTTGTTAAATATATATCAGGTTTAGTTACAAAGGTTATTATCTCAGGGTCACCGATTGAAAAATAGCGATAATCAAACATATCAAGCACTTTTCGGTTTAAAATGTGAACGACGAGTACTTATTTCTGGCACACCAATACAAAATGATCTCTTGGAATATTACAGGTTGCTGTAGTTTTTGTGGAATATCAAAAACTTCTTGTGAAGTTCGGAGAACACTTGCAATTAAGCATTATTTCTCATAATCTATCAAGGTCATATAACAATTCATTAATGATGAATCTGATTAAGGTACTCCATGATTGATTGTCAGTTAGAAAATTATCATCCACAATGAAACTTTTAAATCACTTCTACTTCTAGTTTGATAAATTTTGTCAATCCTGGTTTGCTTGGAACAGCCTCGGAATTTAAACGACGTTTCGAAAATATTATTCTCCGAGGTCGAGATGCCGATGCGACAGATGCGCAACGCGAAAAAGGTGATACTGCACTTACTGAGATGTCATCCATCGTCAGTAAGTGCATCATCAGAAGAACATCCGCATTGCTCACGAAATATTTGCCGGTACAATATTTCATCTACTTTGGATACGTATGCTAAGCGTTCATATGAAATCATTTACTGCATACCATATAATGAATTTGTTTTAGGTCAAATATGAGCTCATTATTTGTTGCAAGTTAACAGAATTACAAGAGAAGTTATACAGGCAACTTATCAGTGCATTTTCAAAGGGTGGAAAGCAAAAAGTAACTGAAGGCAAGTGTTTCTTCTATTTAGATCTTCTATTTAGAAAGAGCTAAGTTTTTTCTCGTGCGGCAATTAATAGATCAGTAGTACTAATAGTATTAATAGATTTAAAGTATTCTCGTTTTCAGGTGATAAAATAACAGGAACGGCACTGTCATTCATCACAAACTTGAAGAAATTATGTAATCATCCGCAATTGATACTTAATAAATGCCAAAAGAAAGAGGAAGGATTTGAAGGTTTTATTCGATACTAATCAAAGACAACTATTTAATTTGTTAACTTTAGTAACTTATGATACTAATAATGATCACATTGCATATTTTCTAGATTGCTTGAAACTATTTCCCGGAGAATTTGGCAAGAAATTCGAGCCAGCATTTTCTGGAAAAATGAAAGTTCTGGATTACCTGCTGGCAGCAACAAGAGCCACTACAAATGACAAATTTGTTCTGGTATCTAATTATACACAAACGATTGATGCATTTGTTGAAGTAAGCTTCGGAATTTATACCTCGCATGGTAAAAATAACATACGAGTGATGTGGTAAATTTAGTGATGTTTGGTATGATATTAAAATAATTAAATAGGTCTATTTGTGTCAAAATTAATTATTGATGAAGGTAGTTTGTTTGATCTGGGAATTTCGTTGTCCAAATTATTCTTAGTGGCCTATTTATAATCTCCTGTTGTGCATGCTATATTTAGGAGCGAAAGAAAATGAGCATTAAATGTGCAGGTCGATGATGATTTTATCATCATAGAGAAAACTTGCAGCTTTGCCAGCTTCGTCGCTATCCGTATATTCGTTTGGATGGAACCTGTACAATTAAGCAGCGTGCAAAATTAGTAGAGAAATTCAACGATCCCGAGGTTACATTTAGTTGTGATTTTATAAAGCTTACAAGATTCATGATTGAATCACCATTGGAATTTTCTTCACAAAATTCATGATTTAATTATTTATACAATATGATTTTCTGAATTATATCTGAATTCTTGAAACCTGCACTTTTGAACCTTGTTTGAATGGTGAAAGAGATAGCCAAGAAAATCAAAACATTGTTTCGAAGGAATAGGAAAAATAAAATTTAACAAATAGACAAACATAAGAGAGGTATATTTAAATTTGGAAGTTTAATTCATCATTTAAAATCATAGTAGCTAACAAATTGAATAAGCGTTACACTTCAGAGTGTCGAGTATGTATTTTTGTTATCATCAAAAGCCGGTGGTTGTGGTTTAAATTTGATTGGTGCAAATCGGCTTATAATGTTTGATCCGGATTGGAACCCAGCAAATGATGATCAAGCGATGGCTCGAGTATGGAGAGATGGGCAAAAGAAAAACTGTTTCATTTATCGGTTGTTATCAGTAAAGTTTTACTCTTATTCGTTTACTAAATATGTTCTAATTTCTTATTTTCCTGAACAGTAACTGGGTGGCAGTCAAAGATGCACAGTAAACGCGTTGTAGACATAGATTGGAATTTCTGTTACTAGAGCATGCTTTTGTAGATGGTATAGTAATTGTTCACTACTTGTTGTTACTGACACAGTTGGGTAGGATATTTTAACCCTAGAGTTTGTTATTTAGGAACATTTCTATAATTTCATGGAGTTAAGAAAAGTAAAATAAGGTTTTGAATTACCTGGACTTTGGAAACATCAGTTTGAATCTTTGTAAGAAAAGAATAAAACTTTTGTATTGGAAAAAGATTTCGGCGAAAGAATGAAGGGGTCTTGGCCGGAGATGTTTGTTTAGTTCAGTTTATTCTATCTCATCCTTTCTTTAAAAATTTAGTTGTGAGTTTGGAAGGTTTGGAAACTCTTTGCCGTAATATATTTGAAATAAATACTATTTTGATCTGGTAATGTAGTTGGTGTAGCTGAGAATGAGCATCGACAGGTAAATTTTGACTATTATCTATTTGGATCATTATGAAAATGGAGGTTGATAAAGTTTATAAAGTTTCTTTTATTTTAAAAACCGCAAAAAGATGTTGACAACATAGGAAGCAATTAAATGAAACTTAATGAAAATAAAAGAATTTCAAATGGCTGGAAAAAATGAACTGTACAGAATGACAGAACCATAGAGTGTGTTGCTATATTTTCATTTTTGGAATTTCATTTCATATTTGCCTTTTTGGAAAACATTTTCAAATTTCAGTTGATAACTTTGCTCAGTAATATGCCTTTACAGACTGGTAGTATCGAGGAAAAAATGTTTCAACGACAGGCGCACAAGAAAGCATTGTCATCCTGTGTTGTTGACGAAATTTCTGATGTGGCTCGCCATTTTAGTAAGGATCAGCTACGTCACTTATTTGATTTGAAAGCAGATGTCGCATCAGACACGCATCATTCGTGAGTTTTCATTTTTGGCAATTGCTGAAGCTTCTATATAGTCACAGTGAGGTAATGTGACAACATTTTTCTGGAAGGAAGATTTGTATCCATGTATTATTAGAAAATATTTCGTATGATTGTTGTTGAAAATATCGATTTCAAATATCTGGTTGAATTGTATCAAATTAATACTATATTCCTAGATTGAAATGCGACCGGTGTGTAAATGGTATCGAATATAGGGAACCTCAGGAACATGCTGATACGAACTCTGATCTCAGTGACTGGTATCATGTTCAAAAAGATGTACGCAAAGTACCGGACAAAGTGAGTTTTTTGAAATCTCAATGCATATTTTTTTTTATTTTAGTCGTCAAGATATCATTAATTAAAGTATTATCATATGATGTTTATGTGCAGATAGATATCATTAAAAGAGTAAAAATTATTCGGATTTAATTCTTCTGAATTTCTTTTTTTTTTTTTTTTTTCATTACTTTAAGCCGATAATTTTAGACATAAGAACTTTTAGGTGCTGAAAAGAGTCTTTGACTGTGGAGCCATTACATTTGTCTTTCATCAGAAATCGCACGACGTAAGGAACGAAACATTAAAAATAGAGGACGAAATTAAAGAAACAGAGGAAATTAAAGAAGATCAAGTGGAATGAAAGAGAACTAAAGTGTTTTGCTTCTTTTGAATTTCTTTCCGATTTTTTGATCTGGCTTTTCATCCTATATATACTGTTTATAAATTTGCATAAACTGAATATTTTACATCGCATTGCATACATATGTTAACCAACTAACGTTCATTGTGAAGAGTTGTAACAGTGTTACTTGGAGTTAGGGTGGAAAAAAATCACAAAGTGGAATCTCTGTAATATTGAAAAACATCATGAAATAATTCTTTCATACCATAAAAGAATTATTTTTCTTTCTTTTTTTACCACAATAAAATATCACAGATAATGAAGTACCATAATTTATTATCATAAATTGATGAAAAAGCAAATATATAAGAAATCAAATTTTACTTAGAAGTAGTGAAATTCATAGCTTAGCTTTACTGAGAATGAGATTAGTGTGGAAGAGGTAAACGAAAGGTTACATCAGATGGTGCTTTTCTGTACGAAATGAATATCATCATGTTTTTCGATTTGAGACAAGAGTGGACCACTATGACATCCAGTGGAGTTAGCCTAGTGCCGAGTTTAGCATAGAGCAAAGTCTTAAGCTATAATTGTCCATTATTGGACCAGATGAATATGTCCTAGCCAGTGATTGATCTTGTGATCAGTGTAATCGATATTTAGGATAGTGCGGAAGTAACGCTGATAGAGCCAGCTAATTAAGGTGTCATAGATTCTGACCTATATAGAAGAGTGGATAGAATGATCACTCTGTAAATATTATTTTTCTTCTGATGCTTATTGCGATTTGTTTCATACTTTTTTAAATGAAATTTCCCGAATGCTTTTTATTCCTTTGCTAATCTCTTATCAATCTCAATCTCGAAATGATATTTCCTGAAGAGGTAAATTGTTGAACTAATTCAAGTTTAGATGAATTTATGAAAATAGCAGCATTTTTTCTTCTTTAAATTGACGTTCAGTGCAAAAAGCTCTGCAGTTTCTGCAAAAGACGTTTAGTGTCCAGTGAGGGCGGTATTGTCTGTGTCCAGTGAGGGCGGTATTGTCTGCAAGGATAAGTTGATAATAGAATTTTGATGTGTGCTTTCAATTGTCTAAGATTTGAGTAGCCTTCTGGTCGATGTGATATCAAGTTTTCTTTATCGAAGTATCTTGAAAGTATTATGCTAAAAAAAAAAGTTGGTGCAAAGATGCATGTCGTTCATATGTGACATTACCGCCTGATCATCATGCATTTTGAGGAATTCAGGAAGATATGCTAATCCTTGCAAAATTTATCATTGTCATAAGCTTTTTCTGTTTACGAAATCAACAAAAATTGCTTATGAACATCACAAGTCTTTCTGATTGATACCTGAAAAACTACATTTACTCTCAGATGACATTCTTCTGTAACAGTGGACATTAGTCTTGCAAGAAGTTCATCAAGAATTTCTATAAGGAGCAAAGTGACATCTTTAATAATTTAAGGTGATGACCTTTTATCCTTCCTTCTCATATAGTGTAATGATGATTGCATCTCAGAAAGTCGTGTGGAAGTTCGCTTTACTCCCAGCAATCCAAAATAAATTCGTGAAAATACTTTCAGAGTTCGGATGAAATTACGTGAATTCCGGATGTTTTATCAGATTTCAATTATTGTATACCTTTGGAGAGTCTTTTCCAGGTCAACGGGTTACGTCCAGTTCAGATTGTTAAATAATATGTTGAACTTTTGATTGCCTGTGAGATTGCAAAATGCATGGACCATTCGGTTGAGAATGGAAGATTTATCTGTGCGGAAGGATTAGCCATGAAGAGGGTTGCAAACCTGAACGTAAAGTGTTTTCAAACCGGTTACCGGTATCTCTCTATGATTGAATCTTCTGTGCTAGATTAATCCATCGCTTATTCTTGATGTCCCCAAATTTTTGCTGCAAGACGAAAAGTTTTTTTTCCTGAATTAGCAAAATATGCTTGATGTTGTCATTTCTTTGAGCTTCTTTCATAGAATGTCACCTTTCTTAGATTTGGCCGAAAAGTGGAAGTTGAGTTTGCATTGGTCAAACTAATGAATGGTCTATTTAACTGCGAAGTATGCCGGATACAGTGTCATATTTTGCTGACATACAGAATAACAGATAATGTGACAATTGATGTGATCTTCATTTAAGTGACATCAATTGATGACACCGACCAGAAAATATTTATCATTTCGATGCGTGTAAAATTTTAACGGTCTTTTTCCTATATTTAATGAATTGAAGAGAAAGCTGGAGACATTTGAAGGTCAAAGGACAATCGACAAGGTATGAGTCATTTCTTCGAATGTGTTTTCTCGGGAAGAAATAATAAGAAAATAATTTCTTATCAAAGAGAATTGACAATTAGTAGAATAATAATATCACGTACCGATAGCATTTTATACTTTGTCTTTGTTTTTGAAATGAGATTGTTGTGGTGATAGTAAACCCAGAAAGTTCATATATAAAAGTGATATTCGTTTACGAGTATTGAAATATAATTGGCGTAATGTTAGAGAAAACGTGAAAGAGCTTTCTTGAAGATCTGATCTTCAGTATGTTTTATAAGTATTTAAGTATTAGCTTTAAGTAAGTATTAGCTTGGAGTTTAACTAATAAAATGAAGGATTATATGCTATGCGAGTGTATAAGTGATGAATGACAAGCAAGAAACTAGAATTAGCATAAGGAATTTTTTAGATTGCCAAATAGGATAGTTGAGTAAATTAGACAAGAGATAAGATAGTAAAAAAGATATGAACTTTATATGATCTCTATTATTAAATGTTCTACACATGATGATGGAAGTATTGGAATCTTAAGTAAAAGTAATAGAAAGTGGAAAGTATGGAAGATGAAATTTAAGACTATCAGTCAGAAAGATTCATGAGAAGAGTGAATGATCTTAACTTTATGCTAACTAGCAAAACTAGTTCATTAATTATTACTATATGCATATCGTATTAGTTCCAAATAGCAAATAAGAAAAATTATGCAAAAGAAATAGTTGGATGAGGAGCAAAGTATCGGTCATTTTTTAACTTCCTAAATTGTAGATGTTATGCTTCTAGATTTCCAATGGTTTTAAGTTCCTAAATTATAGATATTATGCTTTTAGATTTCCAGTGGTTATTCACAACTACTATTCCTGAATACCAATAATATCAAGAAGATTACAGTTTTCATTGTGCTCCAGTGACAGTCGACCAGACCATGGCATGATATTCTAAAGAGACTATTGTTCTGTGAATGTTTGCGCACTCGTCTGTCTGCCTGTCTGCGCCTGTATATATCTGTGTCCTTATTTGTCTGCACCCATATATATCTGCGTCTCTGTATGTCTGCATCCATGCATGTGTATGTATGCCGCATATAAACTGATTCGTACCCAAGGCGCTTCGGTCGATGAGTGCTTAATGGGGTGGTTCATTTCTCCCGTGTAGTCGCGGTGTTTTTCTCAGATTTTTTGGTAATTGTTAGTGAGGAATGAGTAGTGCAAGAATATGCAAAGTAATATCATATCTTTAACAGTTATAGTATTACAAATGTGTGATGAAAGTGAACCATCTATTGGGGGTCGTCCCATCTCGGAGATGAAAGTGGTGGAGTTAAAAGAGGAGTTAGGAAAGCGGGGATTATCAAAAATTGGCAACAAAAATGTCCTTCATGAACGGTTGAAAGAGGTTAGCACTTTTTTTCTTCTAAATAATATATGAATCAATTACTCTTGTATATATGTCGGTGAGCATTGGATGTCATTCTATAGTTTTAGTGTTGATCTGATATCTTAATATGGCTTAAGGATGACCTAAGCATTCTGCGTTTTGAATATGGTTATATTTTGAAAGCAAGCTTAATTATTGTTAATTAACTAGTAAAGAAATAGTAATTGTATTAAACTAATAATATACAGTTAATATAGCGCCACTAATATAGCGATAATCCACAGTGAAATGCTCATTCTTGTTAGCTATGCAGTTTAATAGATCCGTTGTTTGCCGATTTGTCATCATTATGAAGCAGCTATAACGCTTAACCATAAAGTTCCATAAACATTCCTTGTATTCGAGTTCATGTTGGTATTTTTTTTTCGGCATTACTTCTTTTCCTTTCTACTTACCTAAGGCAATATTCCTTACTTATTATCCTTCCTGACACTCTTGTCATCCCCTACCAATGTCGATCAAGAAATGAAAAACTGATGAGGAAGACAAGTAAGGTAGCATTTCCATTACTTTTATTTTACGCATTTGTTATTTATGCTTACAACTTGCCAGGAATTTCAGTATTTGGTGACGGAGGTAAGTGCGAAGTGTGAAAACGAGGTACAGTCAACAGCTATAGAAAGTCCACAAAGAGATATGGTAAGTAAATTTCGACTCATGGTAGAATATTTTGAAGGTTGATTCGAATTATTTGCTTTAACTGTTAATAACGGGCATTACAGACTTCACCGCCGAACCCACTGGTTGCAGAATATTTAGCTAAACAGCAGACCGCTTTACGTGAAGCACGCAAAGATGCAGGTTTGTATTTTATTGATTGAGTGGAGGATGCTTCCATACTTTATTCTAAAATTTATTATGCCACTTCAAAAAGAATAAGATATTAGAAAAAATATTGAAAGAAGGAGTAAATAATTAGTTGATGACATAATTTGTAGAAGCAGTGCGGAGAGCTTCGTCAGGAGATGATGCATCGCCAATACGTGAGAAGTCAATTTCTGGTATACGTCGCTCTCGACGTGGACGTAGTACAGCTACTGTTATTGAGAAACCTGCAGAATCTGTGGTAACCAGCGAAACTGAACAGGTTATAACTTAGACAGTAATATGCATGCTTTAATTTAATTACTGGTGTCCGGAAGTGAAAATGGACTAAAGCAATTAGTCAGAGGAACTTCTATAAAATGATGAGACTGATATTAATTTTAAATTAAGCTTTCCATATCATAATTGCTGTTAAAGGACCCGATGGAAGCGGACAGTTTCCAGGAGAGTATGGAAATGCAGTCTA